ATTTCTTTACTATCCTGTTCAAAACAGTGAAGTCATCAAGAGGTACCTTCTTCTGACAGGTACAGCCATAATGCTCACTATAAAAGATTTACTTTAAAGAAGGGAAGCAGAGAATAAGACAAATCACCAACTTAAACTCTCCTTGTTCAAAAGATCTAATATGATTTTTGATGTTTATTGTCACTGAGAGCACTATATGAAGAGAAAGTAAAGAATCACCTGCATATGTTTACGGAGTTTCGTTAAGGCCTCTTCTGCTTCCTGAAAAGTCTCATCCAAACTTAAGGCTTTCTTATAGTAACTCTCAGCGTTTACTAGTTTGTCTTCCTCTTCCAACCTGAAATTCAAGTGGTAATTAATATACAGTTAAGCCACAGATTTTGATAGTTTTTTCCTTATTCTTAGGACTATCTTTCTTATTTGCACTATGACACTACCACTGCATCCCTCCAGGACCATATCACTCACCTTAGCCCACCTCAGTACAGAAGTAGAATAGTATTTCTGACACATTAGTATGTCCTAAAGTAGTAAACCATATTTTCTGACCTATTATTACCTCCAAATCATCATCAGTAATACTATTCTTTGACATGTCAATTCCAGTTTCAAAAATATTGTCTGTTTCTTCTTAACTCCAGGCTTAAAATAAACCTGTTTCCTGAATATTCAAAAGTGAAATTTTTTGGTACAGAGTTTAACCAGTATTTCAGTAGAGTAACAGAACACAAATACTTTAAAAACCAAACCACATACACAAACATCTCCTCCACCCCCTCCAGAAAAAAAACCCCAAACCAACAAACCAACCCAAAAACCCCCCAGCCCAAAGCCTGCTGGAATATATTCACACATTTGACAAGACTTTCTGCAAGCCTGGTATCCTACCAGTGAAAGTATACCAAGGATTAAACCTCAAATATTTTGCCAGGATTTTAACTGGGTTAGAGGAAAAAGTGTAAACTAACTGCATGAGCAGGTGTATTTCCAACAAAAGCTTTTATTTTTTTAAACCCAGCAAGGAGGGAAAGATGCCATTCTGTGTCCCAACTAGAATAGTATTAAAAAAATGTTATGAGAAAAATTGTCAACAACCAAATGAAAACATAACCCCAAGACTTACTGCCTGCCTCTTTCCACAAGAGTCTGACAGAGGTATTTTCTTGCATTTCTATGGGTAGGACAGTTTTCTAAAGCAATTTCAAAGTCACCTATGGCTTTGTTCAGACTTCCTTTTGTTGCATACCTAGAAAATAGACAAGTTGCACAGATTTTAGTGATGTTTCTCTTTCACAGAGTAGAAAACCCAATGAAACAAGCAGACTTACAGAGCTCCACGTGCTACCAAAGCTTCAACATTCTGTGGATCAATTTCCAAAGCTTTGTTGTACTCATTCATGGCTTCCACATGGCGCCCAACCTTAAAATAATCAACCCCAGCCTTCACACTGGACAAAAGGATTTAGAAAATATTATGTTCAGTTAGTCTGTGCAGGTTTCATACTGCAAACTGCTCACAAATTATGGCTCCAAACAAGTGACAGGTAATAAAACTTGACCTTGTTATCATGTACTTAACACTTGCATTCCAATTTAATGTCATAGAATGGAGAGCATTTCTGCAGACAGTGCTACTACATTACACTGGTTTTCATTTACAGAGTGAATATTTAAGCACTTCTCTGCACAAAACTCTGTGTGTGACCTACCACCACTACACTGGAACAGGCTTAATTATATCCAGAGTTAAAAATAACCATTAAACCAACGACATGAACTGAGTTGGATAGATGGTAAACACTGAAACCAGCTCATCTCAAACTCAAACATTTGAGGTTCAGGTAATATGAGCTGTAAAACCTTTCTTCTACATTTGCTAAGAGATTAATTGCTTCTCTTATTGGAAGAGAACCAAGAGATTAATTTCAGAACTTTGCGCAATAACTTTTTTTAAAAAATTAAAATTTATATTTAACATTACAAGCAGCTTTTTCAGCAATTAATCAAAGCTGCAAACCACTTATTTTAAGAAAAACGCTGCTTTGCTAGCGTAGAAACCAGAAATTCTGAGGTTTCAGATTTTTTTTTTTGAGCTGGTGGATTCAAGAGAAGCTTTTCCACAACAGATGAACATTGTGAGGACAAAAGTCTCTCTTCTGCCTCCTCCCTGCATAGCATGCCCACATACACATGCATAGCATAAAAGCAGTAGCACCTATCTAAAGCTGCTGTTTCAAATGCAGCCAGGGAAAAACTCTTACCTTTTAAAAGACAGCAAGTGCACTTAATTAAATCTACATTCTGAGGCTCAAATGTCAGGAGAAGCAGTAGTAAGTCATTCAACACCCAATTTTAAAATGGAAAATTGTGTCCTTGGTATTGCCTAAAATCTTACTTACATCTCATCAATGGGCCAACATGTAACAGATGTTCCAGGGAATGCTCACTTTAACCTGACACACATTTTGGCACTTGGTCTTAAAACTTTGTCTATCATGTACCCACTTAGCAGTTACGGCTACTTTCAAGTTCTTCCTGGTTACATCACTACACAGGCGCTGGAAAAACTGGTTCAATGTGTATTTTCTTTTAAGAAATATAACCTGTAACCTACTAACAATAAGCTTTGACAAGAGAAAGTATTACATACCATTTCAAGGCCCACGATTCAGACTGCTTTTTCCTCAATGCAGGGGCAAAATCTTCCTCATTGAAATTTTTACTTTAATGAAAAAGCAAACAAACCCATCAAGTTGATGTTCTGAGTCTACAAAACTAAACTTACAATATGTAATGCAGTTCAAATAAACTGAAATATTATTTACACAATGCTTTATTGCTCTCCCTCAGTCAGGAATGTTCTTCTGTATTTCTGAAAACAGCTTTTCCCAATCTATCCTAGAAGTGCTGAATCAAAGTAATATATCTGCAGCACGTTCAACAAAAACATATTCACACCTGCTTCGGGACCAAATATATATCACTGGGTATGTTTGAATCTATTTTACAAAAAAGAGCAGATGTACTACTAAAATAAATACTGTGAATAAACACCTGACAGAAGACACTAAAACTTAAACATCCTGTACTTCAATCCAAAGATATCGGCAAGATCTGAGCAATAAATTCCTAAAATGTTTGGTATCAAACATTATGCGTGGTAAGGTGTCTTGCTTATTCACAGCAATACAATTTCAAATGTAAGTTTCTTACTCTAGAAGAGTTTGCTTTTAAATATTTAAGGACATGTAAGCTGCAGTCATGCAAATCAAAACGGAAAAGGTTTAAGTATAAGTGGTCTCGTCTATCTCAATGGATTAGAATAATCTTCACAAAGCTACAGGATGGGAACAATGTAAAGATCACTTACATTTGAAGACTTCTTAGCAAAGACGGGGGATTTGATTCACTTATTCCTAGTTTTTCTGCTAAATATTCAACTAATGATGGATTACCAAATCCTGGGGAACGATGCAAAACCTCTTCAAATGTCTCTGCTGTATTAGCAACTTCCATGCTTCGCCTTAAAAAGAAACAACACATCAATGTACACAAACAAAACCTCACAAATACTATATTCGATTTTATGATGCTTATGTTTAGAATAAAAATGCCTATATTGATATTTATCACTGCTCACAAGTTGTTCTGTTTTACAGGCATACATTTTTCTACAATTTAGGAACTCTTGTATCTTTTAGCTTGAGTGAACTTCTGAAACCTATTTTGGTACCCATCTAGGTATCTCCAGGACATACAAAAATATTACAAAACCTGCAGAGAATGCTGTGTCTTCTTGTTTTCTAAGGGTAACTTTTGAATTTTAAAAATTTCATATTCCAGTCTCACAGGGTTCTTGTTTCTTGCCTTGTTTGGGGGTTTGTTTGTTTATCTGTTTATTGTGGTGTTTTGCTAACATAGCCCCACAGTGACAGATGCTTCACCCTGCTTTTTGCTTTCCTTACATTTTGGGAAAGATGGTTGACATATCCAGAAACAAGTATGTTATAGAGATAAACAGCAAAAAGCTTGTAATCATCCGATTAAATCGGAAAAAACATCAAGTTTAAAGAACAGTCTATCAAAAATGTTCTTCAGACACACTGAATAGACCTAGTAAGTACAGGTGAATAGCATGTTCTTACTTATAATGTAGTGGGAAGTCATCGGACGTAATTACGCCTAGTTTTGTACTGCACAAATGGGGTGGAAGAGCCGAGCTGTAAAGTGACACCGTGAGCTTCTCGTGGTAACGATCAACATCCTTGACAGCAGCTATAGAAACAGTGAAAGATAAAGTCACAGAAATGTCTCAAAACTGAAAGAGACTCCTAATAACTTCTGCAGCTACTTGCCTCGAATAAGGTCTCCAGTTTGATAATAAGATAAGGGATCTCCATGGTTGCTTTGAGAAGGCACATCTCTCAAAGGACAAAGAGCCTGCAATAGAAGAATGCAGGAATATCACAAACAAACCCAAAAGTTGAGAGTTTTCTGTCCCCAAGATTATGCCAGAATATGATTAGTTTAATCTTAATGCACATCAGAGCCATCATAGTTAAAAATCACAGTTTGGTTCAAGTAAAATTTATGCACCCATAAATTACAAACAACTCAGAAGTAGTATACATTGAGTATGGGCCATAAAAAGAAGCATCTGCTGGCTCAGCAAAGCACCATAAGCTATTCACAAATTCAGATGCCACCCACCATCCCAAAGTTCAGTTTCACCTTTCAGTTCACAAACCACTCCATTAAGAAATGCAAGCAACAACTTATACATTAAAAAGATACTATTTAGCCACAATAAAACACTGATCAAAGCTGTATCTTACGGTGATTTCTAAATCTGAAATTTCCCGTATGAAACGACTTCCCAGACAAATCAGCACCATGAAAAAGCCAAATTCACGAATAGAAGTAATCTTCCCAATCACAATATCACCACGGTCGATGTCTTGAAAAAATAATTCTCTCCTCTCTTCCCTGGGAACCTCCATGAACCGTTCCAGGGGTGGCATAACAGCGTAATAGTCTGCAACACATGACACACAGTTATGAAACAACTAAGCTTCAGCCTGAGAACACAAAATACTTCACTGTTAAAATTGCATTTATTAAACATGCAAAACTTGGTTTGTTCTATTTGTAACAGGCTGTTTGTGCGCAGCCTATAAAAAGCATAGCAAAATCTGTCACCCTGGTTTCAGCAATACCACTGATTTCAGTGCAGTGTCCTCACACACCCAGCACCGTTCCCGTGAGCCGGTCTACCTTCATTTTCTTCAATCGTTTCGGAGAGAGGCCCGTTGGGTCTCCACGAGTGAGCAAAAAGGAGATCAGCTTTTTTGGCAATGAAGCGCTTTATCTCGGTGTCAAGGCTCGTCCTCTCTTTGCTAGGGGAAAGAGAACCCGGTGAGAACCACCCGCGGCCCCTCACAGCTCACTCCCCGTCCGCACCGCCCCGGCGCTCCTTACCAGGCGGCCGGCGGTTGCGGG